AGGAGACCAGCGGAGCCAGGTCTCCCGGGGCGCAAGTGCCACGTGGAAGAGTGGACCCGGGGACATTTGGTAAGAAGCAAGTGTGTCTTTGAACCGAGAATCACCCCGCACCATGGGGTGATTCAACACCCCGTGGGGACAACCCACTCACACCCCACCCTCTACTATTTCCTGGTCACACGCTCACCAAGTGCGTCAGCACAAGGGATGGACCCCCAGCGGATGCTCACTCTGTTTCCCTAACTCTCTGTCTCTGTATCTCTGTCTTATCTCTCTCTCCTTCCCTCCTCTCCCTGCACCCCCACATACAGGGGAACCCTGCTGTTAAGGGGCATCTGTTGAGGAGCTCCTGCGGCCGTTCTTCTCTCTCCGCAGCCTGTTCCTGTCCTCCCATCTCAATTACTGCAGTTCCCTGCATGCTGACATTTTTGGGGTGTCCAGGCCCTCGCCAGCTGGATGTGCCCGACTGACCCCTCAGTGACTCGGGGTGAGCCCTGCAGAGAGACGTGTGTGTGTCCTTCCCACGGCACTGTGTCGGGCCCACCTGATGTCAGGCACACCTGGCTACGTGCCCAGCAGATCTTGCTGTTATAAAGCTACCCTGTCCTGCTTGCAACGAAACAGTCACTTCCAAGCATCTTCTTTCTCAGCAATTTGTCCACCAGGGTCTTGGTGTCCCAAGGGCTTGCTTAATCAGTGATTGCTGTGGTGGTCCTAGAGCAGGGTCCTGGTAAAATGGAAATTGAGACCCTCCATGCTAATGGGGATGGAGAGCAAACCCCCCGCCATCCTGTTGGAAGGCCTCAGCCCTGGTGTTTACACACCTGTGGGCAGGGAGGGCTTCAGGCCCCACAGACTCTCCAGGGAGTCAGCAGGCTCTGAACGTGGGCAGGAACCTGTGTTCTTGGGAACCTACTGGCGCCGTTGACTTGGCCCTCCGCCCCCCATCCCCCATCCCCCATGCAGCTGGCTTACACTCTCTCCTTTCCTCCTAACTCACGCTCAGCTGGGCCTCCCTGTCCCTTTCAAACCTCACATCACCGTCCAGAACCCCTCTCTGTTCTGGGCGAGCAGACCCTTGGTGTCCCCTTCATTCTTCTACCTCAGGAA